CTAACTCCACCAAAATCCGAGAAGGGTCCAATTTGCCTGTACACCGCCTTTAAGATATACTTTAGATGACTTACAATGTTCAGAAAACTGTACGGATGGTTTGCCCATGCCTGCTACTGCATTTCTAGCCAAATGCAAGGCATGTGCATCACTGTGAGCGTAGTAATCAGTAACGCCGGATTCAGAACAATGCAAATCGGCACCTCCAAGTTCTTCAGCGGTTATCTGAAGGGCTTTTTATCACTGATAAACATCTTTCTTCCAAGTGCATGAAATCCACCAACCTCTTCACCGGTGGCTGCCTTAACCAGAGGCGGCCCTCCAAGGAACACTGTACCATTACCCTTGACAATAATGGCTTGGTCCGACATGGCAGGCACGTAAGCCCCACCAGCAGTGCAACTTCCCATCACTACAGCCAACTGAGGAATACCTTGTGAACTAAGCGTAGCCTGGAAAAACACATTCACAAAAGTCATACTAAAATGCCGGTTACACGAAAAAAATTCATAACCATTACAATATTCCAATAGCGGAGGCAGATATACCTGATTGTAGAAAATCCTTCCAAAATGTTCCCTATCGGCGAATATATCCGCTTGACGAGGCAGATTGGCACCTCCCGAGTCAACAAGGTAGATGCATGGTAACCCATTTTCTCTGCAATGTAGGCTATTAATCACTCTCGTTCCCGAAAAATCGTTAAAAGAAAGTTCAAGTGACGAAAGAACTGCACTTAGCTTGTAGAGCCATTAATCTCCATTTGTTCCACCCCCGAAATGGTAAAGTAAACAATTTTTTTGTTTTCTTTATTCATGTTTGTCACCGACTACCACCAAGATAAATCAACCCCTTTCTGTGACTCCCACAGCCCCAACCATTTACCAATCAAAAGTGGTAAACGATCATGAAAATGATTCAAAGAAATCCAGATGCGCCGCTAAAATAACTTGCCATATCAAAGTGCCCACTTCTCTCTTTTTCCAGCAGACCATTACGTTATTAAAGGCAATGTCCGCGCAGGTTTGGAGCTCCTCAGTTCCAACAGCTTACCGAAGCGGGCT